ACTCCGAATTCGTCCCAGAAGGACAAACAGTCAACCAGATGTTGTACCAGAACGTTTTGAAGAGGTTGCGTGAGGCTGTGAGGAGGAAAAGGGGCGATCTGTGGAAGGAGAACTCGTGGATCTTGCATCACGATAACGCGCCGGCTCACACAGCCCTGTCTGTCCGAGAGTTTTTGGCCGCCAAACGGATCACTGAAATGGATCACCCGCCGTATTCGCCCGATTTAGCCCCCAGTGACTTTTGGCTATTTCCCAAACTCAAAAATTTTTTGAAAGGCCATCGATTTCAAAGCATTGAAGACATTCAAACAAATGTGATGCAGGCTCTGAAAGACATCCCGAAAGAAGCCTTCCACCGCTGTTTCCAGCAATTGCAGCATCGTTGGGATAAGTGTATACGTTCTGGAGGGGAGTACTTTGAAGGCGATAAATGTGATTAACTTGTAAGTTTAAAAGTAAAAAATACAAAAATAAAGTCTGGAAACTTAATAGCCACACCTCGTATATGGGAATTCTCCCAAGTCATCCATCGCTATGAATACAGGCAAATGGTATGTTGAAAAACTGCACTGTAATTCTCCCTTTTGTACCTCACCGTAAGTGATACATTACAAGCTGGAAGCACGTCGAAATGAGAGCTGTGGGTCATTGGGGAGCTCGGGATCACCCCACACCTTCAAAAATCGCGAATTTTCATATCTCCGAATGGTTTCGGTATATAAAACCAAAGTCAATGACACGTTGCAGTGTGAAGCCAAAGCAAGGGGCCTCTGGACGGCAGAAAACCACAGGAAGGGAGAATATTTTCAGTGAACATCTTTCACATGTTCATTGGAAAAGTGATCAGAACAGAAACTGAGCAAATTCCTGAAACGAACTCATCAATTCCCAAAGTTATTGTGAAACCGCCTATTCCACTTTCGACTAAAAATGTAAAGCTTCTAATTTGAAACCCAATTTCTAATAACATCGCAAATATCAAACCCAGTTAAGTGAGATTTCCTCATGTTCTATTCAAAATATATTTCGCTTCCCCCGTAGTTTCCTGTGCGAGCATGCATCCAAAGATGGAAAACGTGAACGTGGTGTACGAGGGATGGAACGGAGATTTGCCAGCACCTCCAGGTGCGAGTGTCTTCTACACCTGCCCTCATCCCGCGAGGTTCAGCGACGGGTCAATCAGTCATTATGCCACTTGCTCCGCTCTCCTGGAAACACCCTGGATAACCTCGTTCAACGACCGGAATGTCCGATGCCAAAGTGAGTCTTGTGGGAGTCACTATGAAATTCCAATGGCATCCGATATGCCCATTCCTCTGATTTTTTACGAAATTTATGGGCGACGTACTTACGGGAAAAGCAGAATTGATATTATTCACATTTACTTTTTGGACCCGGCAACGTCGTCTCAACATTGACGAAAGCTTGAAATGCTAAGACAAGACTGGATGTTGAGTCAATCAATGAAGTCGTTTGGAAGATATCACGCGCAGGGAGGTGAATCTGGGGGGGGGGCTTCCAGGTCCGTCAATCCTTCCTTTGTTAGAATGAGTTGTGTATTTCAAGTACTTTATGTTAATTCTCATCCAGAAAGGGAAATAACGACCTCTGAAGTACCACTCCGAGGGATAATATTACTCATTAGTGTATTTTCAGACTAATACATATAATGATGTGAAGATGTTTCAAAGCCAAGAAAAAAATGACATACTTGCGAAAATGACTGGAAGGGCAATGAATTTGTATTGCCCCCTTTCAAACCGAATATAATAAGATGGACATTCACTCAGAAGGGCTAGCCCTTGATCAGCCACAGCCCAGCACCCATGCGAGCCCTCCGACAGGAGTCTCGAAATTATTGTGAAATACCTGGCAGAGAAAAGGGGGTTCAGGCGTTAGAAGGTAATAAAGGAAAATAAGGCAGAACTCTTGGCTAGATTTTTTACGCTTTTCGACAGGCTTCGTCAGGGGCTGCACGGCCGGCCCAGAGCATCAACAGCTGTTACAACCTGTTTCTGCCGTCAACCTAGCATGCCAAGAGTATTAGATAGTACTTGGAAGTACTACCCATTCCAAGGACAAACGCAGCTGAAGTCTCTCTGCACACGTCATTGTCTGTTAATGATTAGCTCAAAATGTCTCGCGAGAGTTACTGGAACTAAGCTATAGGCCAAGCACCCCACAGACGACGTTCAACACGTACAGAGACGATGGTGCCCAAATTATACCTGGTGAGGGAAGCCTTTCTCCCACATATGAACATCTACGAATTGACCTACACCCCGACAATTTACTAAAAGCATTTATCCATCTAGAGCTATACAGAACGAGAAAGAAACTCGATCACCGGTTTTTAATTGATTAATATCAGAACCTGAAAATTGCCTCTTTATTGGTCATCCCTTTTGAATTGCAGAAACCCCTTGGAGTAGGGGCACTTATTGTATTGGGGGGTTTTGCCTTGTGTGCAGCACTGGTAAGAGTCAACTCCAGGAATTCTGTTTAATTTCAGAGATCTCTAAGTCCAAGTGATCTTAAGCGGCTTGGGAGTTGACAAATGCAAAAATGTGGAATGTGGCGTCAAGCCTATGGGAATATTCAAGTTCACATCGGACGCGCGTAGGAGTGGATCGTTCTGGGTCGATGGAAGGCAAAGGAGGGGAGACTTCATATGGGCATTTGACATTAGTACGGAATCGAGAACGTGGGGCTCGGTTGATATTTATGACTCGATTGTAACTTGAAAACGAGAGTGAAGTTAAAGTTGCGCAAAGCACAAATGACACTTAGATTGTGGAAATAATACTTGTAGAATACTAAATGGGACCAATCCAGTTGTTGATGCCTTGCTTGCCCTTTCCATAGTCGTCATGGCTTCATGAGGAGGTTGCACTACTTTCTTCAGATGTACATAAAATGCTGAAGAGAACGAAGCTTCAAGTAGGCAGAAAGGAAATATGGAATTCGGGAAATGGTCAGCCTTGAAATAGGACATCGTTGTGGGAACAATTGCACCCAGACATGGATCCAACAACGTTGAATCTCGAACTCTTACTTCATTCTGAGACTCGGTCATCTCGAATGTCCATTGTTTTCCTGAAAAAGAGGGGAAAGTTGCAGCCTTAGTCCGAATGGGAAGGCGAATCCATGAAAAGAGATGTAAGACAGACGCACGAGTGGGTTCAGGAGGTTTAAGACTGAAACGACCTCGACTAGGCCGTCATTTACCAATGTCTTCCTAAAGGAAGTTGAAGCAAATGGAGACCAAAATTGATTTCAAGCAGGAGAAACGTTCTAGGTATTCTCCCAATCACGTCATCAATAAAATCACCAGGAATTCATACTTCGAAGCTGTAAACCTACGCCTCTTCATGATATTTACACGTAGGAAGGATCCTAGATGAAGCTAAACAATGCTTCTATGCATTCACGCTAAAATGAAACTGAATTGGGTTCACTTAAACCATTATAACTTTTTCCCCCCTCCATTTCAAGCACTCGTTTGAGAAGAAATGGATATCACACATCCGATGATTTCATGTCACAGTTTAGAATGACGTTTTGAGATCTTAGCATACTGGAAGTCTAATGACTTTTCATTTGATGCCTTCATCTGCTTATTTCTTAGGTGAGAAGTACCCAGATTGCCTGCTGTCAGAGATGGGGAAGGAATATATGGGGAGCATGAATCAGACAGAGATGGGGAAATCTTGCCTAAGATGGGATTCTCCTGAATTGGCTGAATTGTTTAATGCCGACTCTCTGGATGGGTTCAACCCAAGCCTGTTCTACAAGGAGCATTTCATAAACCTGGACCCATTTTCGCATGAGAACTTCTGCCGTAACCCCACATCGAAGGAGAGGCCCTGGTGCTTCGTGGATGACGGCCACATCCATCCCGAGTATTGCCGGGTTCCCCTCTGCGAAGACTTGAGTAAGAAAGAACATTTCCATATAATTAATTGGGAAGTTTGCATGATGGGAGCAGTCAGAAACAACTCCTCTCTCGGCACTAAATCAATCCGGAATCTTGAGCAAAATTCCATATTCCACATAAAGTGCTCTGAAGAGAGAAACTTCATAGATATATTCCTAAAGAGAAAAGCATATCTTTGAAAGTTCAATGCCATTATTAGCTCAACCCTTCAACGGAAAAGGAACATACCAGAATTTGGAATTCTTTCCGCTCGACAGCGGGAAAACCTAGTTTCAGTGATATCCCGGAACTCCCCTTCAATCATGACACTGCTCCTTTCATTCAATCACTTATGATTCCAGAGCTTAGCAACGGCAATAGGATATACTCTTTGAAAACGCGCTTTTTCCGGGCCCTCCCACGAAACTTAATTATGTGCCTCAGGAAACTACCATTCCTGTATCAAATATTTCACCAATGAGAGAACAGAGGAAGAAAGACCCAGGGCTGTCCTCAAGCGTCAACTGGAAACTTCGGGAACACTCTTTCTTACGTTTCCAACGCACTTGAAATCCTGCTTTGATCATATCCAATCTTTCAAAACAATAGAGCGGAGCACTCACCAAAAACTTGAAACGCGATAATGTTCTAGGCTTACGACAATATTTGACATGAAAAAAATTCATCATTCTCATTTGCTCCACAAAGGACGGGTGAAATCCTGTTGCAACGTCAGGTTGATTGCAACCAATAATGGGTGTGTTGTCTCCACGTCACCGAAAAACTAAAAAAATTATCCACAAGGGAGAACAACGCTCTTCATCACGTTTGGCATTTTTAGAAAGTGATACATTTCCCCTTGAAATACACTTCTGCGAATTCCCTTGAATTTTTTTTTACTTTGTGTTTCCGACGACGATTTATAGGAGGCATTTGAAGTTGATCGAGAAAAGTTTTTCATGTAAGAGATCAGAATGAGGTTCACTGAAGTTTCGTGTTTTCTCCGCATAGACTATTATCTTTGGGTGGATGAAACTATGTCGCATGGCATTATTGCAGTTGGATATACCATGAAACAAACCCTTGAATGGTGTTGAAATTAGTCATCAGTAAGAGGTCTCTAATCCCGCTGTCCGTACTGCTCTGGTGGCACATTCAGGCATTCGAGAATGCAAAGTGACGCCGAAGGGGGGAGAATACATGGGAAGGAAGAACGTGACTATTTCGGGCTTCCCATGCAAACCATGGCAGGATGCGGAGAACAAGGAAGAAGACAGATTTGCTACTATCAGCATCTCAAGTTACCCGGATGAATACAAAGTCAAACACAACTACTGCAGGAACCCGAATGGAAACCCAGGCGGTCCCTGGTGCAACATCAAGGATTCTGGAGGCTTAGACATACCATGGGAATATTGCGATGTCACCTTCTGTGTGCTTGAAGACCAGGAGGAAGCATGCGAGGCAGGGAGCCAGTGCGAGTCAAGTGAGTCTCTCCGATGCCCAGAAATTAAGATTCTTCAGGACTATGGACCTACATTACAAGGCGCCGGGAGGAACTGGAAATCTCGTATGCATTACTCAGCATCGCTAGTTTAATTATATGTACGTGCTGTGATCCCGCGGATCTCAACTGTCTCTTCCCACGTGCATGGGAGGTAATAGGTCAAAATTTGTCACGCATTCAAATTGGACGCAAAAAAGGTATGACTGAATTATGTAATTTCATTAGGAAAATTCAGGAAGTTTAACGTTCCTAAGTAGTTATTAGTATGCCATCTCTGTCTCGCACTGGACGAAAATCCAAGAACTTCCATTGGTGGGCAAGATTTAGGCCTGTTCAAAGTCGAGAATGGATTATTGCTAAACCGAATCTGACTTGTATATTTTTTGTAAGGTTTTCTTTAATTTTAATGAATGGAATGGGCGCACAAAATAATAGATGATTTTGGACCTTGGAGGACAGTTCCAAAACAAGAAAGACACAAAAAGAAAATAAGAACCTTTGTGAACAGTAAAATTATTGACCCGTTTCTCAGACAAAACAAATATAAAAAAGGTCATTCCAGGTAAATGTAATCACGGGGTAAGAGAGCAGTCAGGCCTAATTTTTGGAACTTACAAGTCAAACTTGTCAGTAACAAAGTATGCCCTAAGAAGTGCTCTGTCACGATAATCCATTTTTGTATATTTAGTCAAATTTCACAAAATCAACTAAAAGATATTTCACTGAATATGAGAGTACCCTCTTTCAACTCCAATACGTAATTCCGCGCAACTGATTCAGCTTTCCCTGTACGATCGGTACTGTAGAATTAAGTTCCATTTTTGTTGTTTCTAACGTATAGTTCGAGATTTCCATGATTCCGATTAATGACTATTTTCCAAACTGGTGCCAAGATGATTAGGTTACCCGTGATCACAGCAAGGAAAATCTGATGATAAGAGAAAACTCATGCAATTACAATACCCTACAAATGTATACAAATGATGGATCTAGGATTTATAAGGAAACAAATCTTAAATATGCCCAAACAACGTGTTTGTGTCAGTATTCTATATAATAAAAGTTAATTTGTTTTCCACTGCATACATATGCAAGCCTACATCAATATATTTTCAACATGTTTTTGGAGAAATGTCACTTCTTTAATATGCAAAGTGATTTAAATTGACGAGAATTTTATGCGAAATTGACGTTCACGATGAAATCCCATGCAGCATGATCATGGAGATGTGATATAAAATTGAAATTCAATCAAAAATGAAACTTTGATATTTTTCATCACACTTACCCCGAATGACCTTACATGAATTTGGGTCTTTACCTTATAAACTATGCTTCCCCCAGATTAGCATCTTACACGATCAATGTCCTTGGTACATACATTAGAAAACAACACAGGCTCGAAAAAAAACTCTCAGATACTTGTCAATGAATGAAAATTTTAGTCGGACTACTGGATCAATACGACACACTTGAAATCTTTAGCTTGGGGAGGGAAGAGAAGATGGGAGATTCTTCAGGAAGGTAAGACTGCGATCAAGAAGAGGTCCGAGTCCCGGATCAGCATGGAATAAACTTCTCGAACTTCTGCTTCCAAATTAGACCGTAATTTTCGGCCGTCCCAATTTCGTAAGGATAGTATTAATAGATAACGGGTTGATAAAATCCCATGTTAGAAATACGCGTTATGCGCTGATTGCGATATAAATAATTGACATTGGCATCTCCTAGTATATACGGAGGGCTCAATAAGAGGGGAGCATGTTCATGTTCGCATGTTCCAGACTCTTTCGCATTTTTATTGGTGCAGATTATATAATTGCAGTTTTGCTAAGTAGTAGTAAGGAGAGCTGAAGGACTTTCAAATATCTCTTATTTCTTTTCTCAATCTCAAGACAAAAACATGTATCGGTTTCTATCTCTTGATCATCGGGCGAAAATTTGAAACTTTTTGCAATATTCAAATTGTTTTATTTCTAGAAGTTTTTCACATAGGAAACTTATGATTATTGTGGGTGAGTTCCTTAATGAGCCATAGAAAATCACAAAATGACAACAAAAGTGAGAGGGTAAGGTTAATTTTTCTTCTTTTGTTTTCATGGGATCATCCCCAGGGCAACTTCGTATTTTACCTCATAAATTAGGAGTACCTATGCGACCTCAAAAGTTGCGCATTTCCTTTGAATTCTTCATACCATGGCGTGAATAATGGCAGTTACATGCCGAACAAAACTTAATGTGCTGCTTGCTAGAATTTTCTTGTAAACTTGCTCCAAAATGTTATATAAAAATCTGTTGCAGACGTAGGTGAAGTCCCACCAGAATATCCTGAATGCCGCATGACAGAGATGGGGAAAGAATATATGGGCACCCGAGGCCAAACAGAATCAGGAAAGATCTGTTTGCAGTGGAAAGATAAACCGAAAAGCAAAGAATTGGAAGACTTCATGGTGTCCCATCTCTCCATCGAAGACGCAAGATATCCACCATGGGAACTACGCTTGGAGGCATGGAATAACCTTGACTGGAACTACTGCCGGAATCCAGGGTTCAGAAAGCGGCCCTGGTGCTTCGTCTCATACGATGATCTCAGCTGGGAGTATTGCAACATTCCCCTCTGTCACAGTCCTAAAGGTATGCATAGTAGTCACTAAAGCGGCATGGAAAAAATTGAACCAACGGTTCACTGATACTTCATCACATTTGAGTTCATTAAGCCGGACTTAAGAGAACATTCTTACGAAACGAGCAGATATAGAAATATTTTATTTGGTTTTGGTTTTAAAAAAGTATAAACTTCTTGGGCGATCAATTAAGGAAAATATTTTTTCCTAATGAATTTCTCCCCTTGGGAAGAAACCTGTGGAATAACTTTTCCCAAAACGTTTTCGCTTTTTTCAGATGTCCTCATGTGGAAAAGGCTGAAATTCGGAACACATCTAATTCTCAGTGGAGAAATTTCAGAAAAGAAATTAAACTGTTGGTATACCTTAGAGCAGCAGTTCCCAGACTTCTCTGAATCGCGACTCACTTACTGCCATTCAGAAAATTTCGCGACACACTGGAATCCAGAACGAGGTATTTTCAAGGTAATCATGACGTGAAGAAAACTGATCAACCTTTTCTGCAGGGCATGTTTTATCCTGAAAGGATGCGGATATAGTGATTTTTTATACTGGGAAAATGAATGCGACCCACCTTGATGCCCCTCGCGACCCACAGTTGCATTAGGGTATATCCGCCTTAGGCCTAATTTGCCCAAGGAGTTTTCGTTGCTAACATTCCACGAATATATATGCTACTTCTAGAGTGCAGAGGCGTCGAAGGTGCACATTTTGGATTTAAAAAAACTCGATATACGAACATCTTCGAATGCCGAAGGCGCGAATAACGCAACTTTCTTGGTCTAAAGGGCTAACGAAATCGCTACTATCTACCACTCACGGCTTCGTTTCCTTTCACCGCCTTTGAATTCACTCGACTGCCATTCCTTGCGAACGGACCAGATGGGTGACGTCCCGCCATCTAGAGAAAAAAAATTTTAATTCGATAATCCGATGTTAGATGAAACTTCCCTTTTCAAATCATCGTATTTTTATACCCACCACCCCTTTACACGAGATACTATTTTCAAAAGTTTCGGTTTTCAGGCATAAATGATCTCTCGAGCGAGTTTCATGACTCTCAAGCTATACTAGCTAAAAATGCCTGTTGCGGCTTTCTTGGATGGTCTGAAATATCATAATGCAGTTATTACTATGGAAGTAAGGGTTTTATAAAAACCTGTGTGATGTATGACGTTGTTCAAAATTTACCAATATTTTTATCGTTTCAAAATCACATGATCTTTTTGTGAAAGCTTTAACTTTGTATGAATGTGACTACTGAGCCTTGGAGTTCAAGGAAAATGTAAAGTTTTTATACATCGCCTGGGGGCATATTTATTTAGGGTGACGTTTTCAGGTAATTTTTTTTGCCGTAGCGAATTGTGCAGAAATAGACATGTGGAACTTGGCTAATGAGTGGGGCAATGTTGAATTCGGAAAAATTCAACTTTTGTGGTTCATGCTCTCATGGCTGGGTACGCATTTCCTAAGGTAATTTTGCACAGCAAAAAGAGGAAACGGTTGAGGCTGAAATTCGGCAGGCACGTACCCAAGTAACACAAGATATTCCAGCAACGTTTAGGAAATGCTGATTAACAATGTTGCATCTATGTGTAAATGTCCAAAACGTCAACTTAGCTAATGTTGCAATGACATTCGTAGAAGTGTCGCAGCAACATTCCAATTGAAAACATTGAAGCAATGTTTTCTCAATGTTGTACAGCAGCTTGCAAGATAGAGCAACATAGGCAACATTTCGAAAACGTTTAATCAATATACTGTGTTACTTGGGTAGTTTTCCGAGAACTTATTTCAGTAAAAATAAATATTAATTTGCAAGTATAACCCCTGTAAGCGCTTTTTTTTGCTAAAGGCGAATTTTCCAAAATCTTTGTTGATCCAATGAAAGAGAGAACTGAAGTAAGTTCAAACTTGGAACATGGTTTTGGAATTAGTTTTTTTTTAGGATTTAGTGAAAAATACACGGAAGTGTATTCAGTTGAGATCCTGAGTATTGCAAATTTACAGGACAAAAGTTGTGCTTACAAGCACATTTTGACAAAAGTATCAAAATTTAATTACACTGCCATGTATTTTTCAATAAATCCTAAATATATATATTTATTCAATCAAAAATATCAGAAAATACAGGGTGCGGCAATAAAACGGATAAAATAACAAAAATTGAAATAATTCATTGAAAATTGCCAAATCTATGCAACCAGTGAGAACAAAAAGTTTACAATCGTGGGATCACAATAAAATCACTTGTTTTCAAAATAGCCACCTCTGTCTTCGATGCACTGCTTGAGTCTCTTCAGAAAGTCGTCAACGACTATGCTCCCCGTCTACAAAGATAAACTAATGCGCTGATTTTTCCTTATTGGCATTGATTGTTGCTTTTGCTTGAACTAAGGCGATGAAATAAACCGTTTGGTCTAATTTCGAGGTCATTTCATTAAATGATGTGAATTAGGGTTCAGGTCAAACTGATCCGCCTAATATTTTAAAGGCAGTTTCCTGACTAGTTGAACTCTTTCTATTCCAATATTTAGGCAGTTTGGTCTTTTGGTTGCCCAGAAACCTATAAATATACAATGCTGTACTTTTTTCCAGGCGCCCTGTATATTGACATGAGTGAGTGACGTTAATTCTAACGATGTTCTGGAAAAGTAAAAAATCTGACATTTGCTTCACAATTAACTCTTGTGGAGTCAAGAAAAACTGACTATGTAGGTATATGCCCTCAGGACGTATTTATTCAGGGGGATGTTTTAAACGGAAAGACGTAGGAAGTTGAAAATGGTCACAAATGCGCCTATTGCAATGGTGATTCCCATCAAATTTTCAATTTTCAGATATATGCCCTGTGCTCACATTTTTTTAGAGAGACGTTTTAATGTGTTTTTTTCTTTTTGTTTAATAGGGAAAGAGATCGAAAGTTGAAAATGGGTATGAACGTGCCTAATGATATCCAAATTTAAAGAAAATTTCGTTTAAAGATGCATCTCCTGCGGGCATAACTTTCTTTGGGAAAATTTTAAAAGAAATAATTTTGGCCTCTGGCAAACGGAGCAGTAGTGCTGGGGAAAAAATGAATTCAAGGAAATTCTTAATGTTGCCGTACAGGGCCTCCAAGCATATTTTCTGGTCGTATTTTTTTTGGTCTTTTTTAATTTGCTCACGGAATATTTACCTGTATTCCTGGAGGGGGCGAGGGGAATGAGTAAATTTCTGCAATTTCCCTCAAGGAATGCTGATTCAGTCTTGCTGTAGAAGACTCCTTATAGATGATAAACTCTAAAGTGACAATTCTGGGGAAATTAAGAAATTTTACTTTATTCATGCTCCAGATATCAGTTTGGAAAACACATCACACAAGCATAAGTAGCTTAAACTTACAATAAAAAATATTAGGAACCCAAAGAGTTTTACTCAATTTGCAGCATAAGAATCGAAAAGAGAGGCTTCAAATATACTGTTGTTGATTTCTTTTGGAGCGCACAGCGACGAAGGCGCAAACATAACGAGATTGTTTACCCAATGGGCAAACAAATTCCCTATTATGTAAAAAAAAAGCTATTGAAAGCCATATCAATTGTTTTTAGCTAGTGTCGTAGTCAGGATATTCGCCAAAAGTTGTCACATGCTTGGAAACCAAAGCTTTTGAAATTCGTATTGCATATACCATTAGGAAGGAAGAAAAAAGGAGACTATGGAATTTTCATACAAGACCTGTTAGCTCGGAATTTTCTCAATTTTCTTCTGTGAAACGTAAAATTTCTCACAATCTGGTCAGTCGGCATGGAATGGTTCCCAATTGTTATTTAAATCATAATTTTTTCTAGAGATTTTTCTAGATACATCAACCAATTAAGATTTATCCTGTGAATTTTAATATATTAAACTTCCTTTGCAGCAGTAATTGAGGATCTCTTAAATATTCATCCAATCCATACCTCAGCAGTTTTTTATTGTCAAAAATTCATTCATAGTTTTCGTGACGTTTCAGAGCCAATGGAATGCAAATTGACAAGTAAGGGACGAGAGTATGCAGGCTTCACGAACGTGGCGCAGAACGGAGAGAAGTGTCAACCGTGGCTGAGCCAAACCCCAAACCAGCATTCAACGCTCCCTTTGCTGCCGATGTTTCCCGACCCTGGCATCGACAGCCGCCACAGCTACTGTCGAAATCCCAACAATGATGGACGTGGTCCCTGGTGTTACACCGAGACCGGGACTGGTCCCCATCAATGCGAAATCCCGTTCTGTTAGGACTTGCTTAGGTTATCCGCTCTAACAGGTATTAATATGGGTTACGCTTACACCATGTGTTTCTCAAATTTTCACCAAATCCGCTTTCCGATGATAATATTCAGTGACACGAGTATACAAAGTATAAAGAGTTTAAAATATGAAGTAGATAGGTGCGGCCAACAGATGAAGCGTGCGAATAATCTCTGAAAGAATCTTTATGAGACATTTGGCCCACAAATATCGAAATTATTCACGTATGTACAAAGTCACAATGAATGAATCTAACTCTTTTGTGGTCTGGATTTGACTAGGCAATCCTAATAGCTGTAACGAAAGTTTTTGTGCAAAAATTGAAAATTTATTTCAGTATCATTTTCTACATGAAATTTTTTTGTTTATATACGTACAGTATTTGGTATCATTTTGAAGCACGTCTTATGCCGCGTATAAATATATGTTGCTTTTCTTTGGAAATTGCCAAATTAAAAAAAAAATTACAGCGACCATAATGTGCGACGAAAAAATCGTGCGTCGCGGACTGTTGCGTCAATACTGGAAAAAAGGATTCATGCACAAAAACTTTCGTTACAACCTAGTATTATGGGAGATCCGGAATACCGACTGACGGAAATGGGGAAGGAATACGCGGGGAGAGCATCGAAGACGGAAAACCATGTCTCCAGTGGGATTCACAACCATACGAAGAGACAGATGACTTCGATACTGAGATCTCCCGTCAATAAGCCAAATCGATCATGGTGTTTCGTCGAGGATCCAGAGAAGATATGGGAATTCTGTGACATACCCATCTGTCCCGACCCTCCGAATTTATAGAAAGATGAAAGGCTGCTGTAACCAATATTTGCTGTAATGCCGTAACACCGTTCACTTGAAATTCACTACGTAATGCGGCTTCTAAGACTAAAATTGGAAGCAATACGACAAGGATATATCGTAGCAGGACTTATGGAGTATGAGATGGTGTCACGACTCCGTACGTTGCGTTGTTCAACATAGTCAGAAAATGTTCCATATTTCAGAATGTTTGTGTGTCTGTCTGTCTGTCCTTATGGACGACCACGTCTCCGATCCCAGTCCGAACAAACTTTGCGTGGCTTCCTCATTTGGTCCGGGGATGGTCATTGGCTAGGTGGGGTTTCACAATTCAGGAAGTACCTTATTTTGTACATATTTAGTGAGCATTTCGCCGATTCACTATTACGGCCACCCTCCCCCCTGCCCCAATGGAGTCAAAAGGTCAATATAAAAGTTTTACAGGAACCCCAAGTAGCTAAATAAAGTTTGCGTTGCACCGTCCAGTGCAGCTGTGATTGCTTATTGCATATATTTTACGCAACTTCACTATTATCCAAACTTAACATCCAGTTTTGTGTGTAGATTGAAATTTCCTACCTGTTACTTTCACCCGAGGTTTTTTATTGTTTGATCCCAAATGCAATCTTTTCAAATGCAAACTGTCGCATGAATTCCGTTTTTACTGCGATATAAACACAAGAGAAAAAAGAGGACGTCAAATCCGATTCGGACAGCACCAAACCGTATAAATTTGTAGTTCAGTACAGTTTAAAATTGCAGTCACTGCCCCATTTTATGCGAATCACAAATCGGAGACTGTTGAAGGGAAGATGCGCGATCTGCGATGACGCATGGATCAGTAATGGCATGTATTTTTCCTTACATTTATCTGTAATGGTGGTGGAGTTTTCATTTCTTTCATCTGTAAGGGCTTACATAGTTTTCGTTCCATGAATCCGTAATGACGTTAATAACTCTCGATGCAAGAAATTTCCTATGATTCGCTGTGGTAATTTTTATTTTTACTCAGGATTTACAAGTCTCGAAAAGTTCATTACACTTTTGGAAAGTTCGTTTTTACACTTTTCTCGGGAATATCATGGTGAAATTTCCAATATTTAAAGTAGTCTTTTTGTGAATAGAATTCTCTTGGTCCACTTGAGAAAAACGTGCCTGCAATAGTTCCAGAAAATTCCAAACATGTTCGTTGTAGAGAATATGTCCGTGGAGTTCATTGAATAAAAATATCCTGCTAACAAAGACTTTCCGGATCAACTGTTTGTGGAAGGAAAATGAGACGCTTATTTTGTGACCCGAATCGTAGAGGACTCAAGCCCGAGCCCGGCATTCCTGCAGGTAGTAGGTCCTTGTAAAGGGTGGCCCGAAAAGACCTGGAAAAAGACCTTTCTTTCAGAATTTTTTAAAATATTTGTTTTTCAAGATTGAACCGTAAACTTTTTTGTACCCTAACGTCCATCTCTACTTCTGGCTTTCGTTTAAAATTTGGTTACGTTCGGACAAAGAATTGTGGAGGAGTTAAATTCTTTTGAAAGACACGGAATTTTCTCTGCTCAGAGCTGAACTGCCCGAGAAACAATGATCTATCGTCGCTAATATTCAAAGATGTCTTCTCAATTTTCAGCAAAACTTTCCGATCTGCTCCTCCAATGATGAACAACGCGATTTACTGATCGCTGGGAGCTTGCCTGTTTGACCGTTTGATCAATATTTCGCAAAGTCAATTTGAAATAGAAGACTCTCCAGTTTTAATCAGGGAACACTTCCACTGTTCTCTTTCCTTCGAATTTCAATTAATCCTGTCATTTTATAAATAAGCGTCTGGAAAAAAATTCAGGGGCAATTAATTAGTAAGAGTAAAGAAAACCCGGGGAAAACGAATAAAATGCGATGAAACTATGCGCTCTTATCTCGACCTCACACTTTTAGAACCTCTTGAATGCAACCATGGTCTGCTATTCCTTTTTTTCCCAAGTTATATTTGGAGTAGATGACGTCACAAGGCCAGAAAAATGGATTGACGCTCGGCTGCCATGACGCAGTGACAACAGAACGCGTTGTGTTGCAACCTGTTGTGTTTCCTGAGCTGTAAAAATTCGGAGTGCCTGCAGAGAAACTTAATGTCTTCAAAACCTTTTTTTTTCCTAATTTAGCTAATTTTTAATTGATGGAAGTCTGCACAAATGAAATTTTGCTGATTAAATTTGAAAATATCTTTTAAAATAAATTATGAAAGACAGGGATCCAAAATTTTTGGCCACCCTGTACAAAGGGAATCACTCCTCTGAACTACAGTCTTTTTCAAGGTAACTGCTTTGTTGGATATTGGAAATAGTGGAACGTGCCAGCTTCTTTTATCAGTAGGGAAAATAAATGTAAAAATCTGCAAGCACTAATTCACCCAGAGGATCCAAATTCTTGGGATGCTGGCAATCCACACCGTTAGTGCTGATTATGAAGTTATTCATAATGCAACTCCATTCTCATGTCTTTGCCACGGGAACTTAACATTTTTCACCTGAGTCAGAAAGATGTACCTCTCACTTTGACACCAATGCAGAAAGAACTTGCTATGCTCGAACGCCCGAGTCAAGTGATAACATGTCTGACTGGAGAAAATGCCATAGCTTAAGAGGGTAGGACCTGTGTCTTATCCATATGACCCTCCGACATGAGTACCAGTGAAAGAAAAGGGATAAAAGAGGAACAGGCTTTATTTATTGATTCTCACTCTGATTTATCCAACAAAGTGAAGGAATGATTTGGGACGGACTCAGGCCAATCGATACTCATCACTGCATCGTGAGGTGTGGACTCAGGCGAGTCGACGTTGCGACATCGTCGACCGCGAGTCAAAATATAAAAAGGCATCCATTTCTTATTGTCTCAAATACAAAAAAACTCAAAAATTGGGAAGATGCAAAATATCCCAGCTGTCACTTTTCTCACATACAGGTCTGTGGAATGTCTCACCTTTGGCACACAGAACTGTACAAGTCGTCGAGCTTCTGCTCGTCAAAGACTTCCCATCAGCTGCCCAAAGTTGCTCATCGCGTTGGCATTCGTGAGTTTTGACATCGATCAAATCGAAGACGCATGGCACAAAATATTTGAGGGAGTTTTTGATCCAAGGCACAGACAGTCTCGCGGAAATACTTTCGCATGAAAGGCATCTTTTTCTCGAGGAGCATTCGTCTTAGCATCGGAATGAGCTGGGCCTTTGGAGTCCATATATATATATACATCACAGAGCACATAGAGCAAGGCAAGAGACCATTTTTCATCTGTAACATGGCCACTAACGATATTACATAATAATTATATAATTAGCACCTCTACATCCAAAATAATTAGATACTCGAATCAAACACGCGAAGCAAACGCGCCTGGGAATAATAAAATTACGACCCACAAGCAGACGCACTCCGTGAAGACCTGCAAATCATACAGCATGAGGGAATGAGATTCCATACTGATAATAAAAAAGCAGCATGATACATGTAAAATACATGTAGAATACATTCTGCAACAACTATCTGTCAATAAAAGGTGAGTTTTGATTGCGGAAGTCAACATTAAAGGGAAAAGGAAAATCCACTACAGAAGGCACATGGGTTACAGGACGGATTCTAATTTCCGTGCCCCCAGCTGCTCCTCCTATCGACATATCATCAGCTGCATATTACAACAAGTTGCCAATATCACGTTCCCAGAAATAGGAATGACGGAGAAGGGAAAAAAAAAAACAAAGGCAGATTTCAAATGCGGATGCAGAGGTCACAGTTCGGTGATGATGGTCCGTCGGGCGGTGACCTGCGGCTCCCCGACGTGCCACGGTGAAATCGAGGACGATGCCATCGGAGGGCTGGAAGTGCCGATGCTCGTGCCGTTCACCTGGGACGAAGAGGACGACGAAGCCGGGGAAGCGGAATGATTCTCCATCCCATCGGAGGATGCCATGGTGGCGATTGTACTGCTGCCACCAAAACTTGTCTCCTGAGGAAGAGAGCAGTTACAGATGCCTTCCATCCGGACTATCGAGGCTGCAACCATTTATTGGAATCTTATAGTTGACATTTTACTGCTCAATGAAAACAGGCACCATCGGCTTCATCTACCGTGTTTAAGCAGGGATGTTATATGCTACAGAGGGGTCACTACAAAGCAGGACAGAGACAGAGACAACTCACTTTCTGGGCAATTGCTACATTGGAGTCTGGATTCTGGACAGCAGACGGGCTCGACAGGCTTCCCGAAGCAAGCGTGAAAACTGAGGAAGTGGGGGTGGAGGCATGATTGTTCTCTCCCGAGTCGAGGAAAGGGTTCACGGTCGAAGCGGGGGCGGGGGAATGCGATCGGAACGGGTTCTTCTCGCTCAGCGAGGGTACGAACGGGTTATGGCTGTTGAGGGAAGCAGCGAAGAGGCTGCTAATCAGGTGGTTCGTGAGCTTGGCTTGAGACTGGGCCTGCGAGGGGCTGACACGCGGGGAGGCATTCGGCGGGGAAAAATGGGTGATGGTCACGGGTGGTGGAAGGGGGTCGTCGATGCACGTCTCGCCCGGGGCCAGGTCCCCGCTCTCTGACTTCGGGGACGCCGTGCATTTCCCTCCCAGCTGTAGGGTGAGGGTGTCTCCTCCCTGTGGTTTCCACACGCACGGTCACCCAACAGCACAGACAGGGTTCACAAACATGTAACTTTCCAAGCCTTTTAAGGCAGGAACATGCACGACCAACATCCTACACACAGGGCTACTTTCTACGGTCACGTCAGTAAGTATAGCATAACTTAATTGGAATGAAGCTATGGAATTCTCAGGCGATACCATTGAATATGGAGACAGAATGTGAGCTCCAGTACTTTCACTGACTTTGATTTCATGACTGGATCACAATTCTTGCATTGCTCGAAACAATACAGAGCAAGTAATATTTATCACTTCAAAAAAAAAATTTTTGAGCGAGTCCTACACCTCCACAAGTCCGCTCATTTGTTAGTTCCATGGAATCAACGAACTCATGCAAATTCACATAGGCTACGTAAACCCTTCCCAAGGCTGCAACTAGCGGCCATAATGACAATTGAACAATGACTCACAACAGCAACGAACGTAGCACTAGTGTCATGGACTTCGTGAGCTTCTCCGTTCCCCCTCCCTTTGGCTCCTATCTTGTTCCTTGGGAAGGTGTCACTGGAATACAGCATCATGGGTATCCTGTTCATCCTGTCCCGACTTTGAAAGAAATACAGTCGACTCTCGTTATAACGAAGTCAAGGAAGCCGCCAGATTTATTCCGTCACATTGGGTTTTCGTTACATCAGGAGAGGGTCACGTATCTCATTTAGAGGACTGAATGCATTTTATGCCCGAGTATACATAATTTCATCATCCCATTGGTATATCATGGGGTATACGACAGCTTTCATGGGTTCCGTGGATGTCGCATGTAAACACGCTAGCTGCCACGGAAAAAGCGTCGGGAAAATGCATCGACAGCTAACGTTTTAAGTTCGTATAAGCCTCCATTGCGTACAGGGCGTATACCCACCAGACTTGCATAATAGTGGGGGTTCGTGGACAAAAATTCTGGGGGGCCAGCCGATGACAATAATGAACAATATTTCCTTGCAATACTAATGGGAGTGTGGGTATGCAGTATGTAGTATTAATGAAAAACGTATGCTACTTAATAGGAGCATAAAAGGTTAGCTTAGGTTAGCCTCATCGCCTGATGGGTCCCACTTCTTTTAAGTGGCATGCAGCAGATAAGAGGCTGAAGGAGAAATGGCTCCAAATTAGCATTGTACATTCAATAGAAATCGCGTGAAAGCAGAACGGAAACACTTTTCATAACACACTTGAGGGGGAGTAGAGACGCACCCGGTTCGAGAAATGCGTCGACATGACGACATTCTCCCAACGAAGGTTTCAGAAATTCCCTCTAACAAAATCGCATCTAGCTTACCTAACGAATACCATGATTACATTGAATATATCTACCGCTACGATATGAATTGCTAATGCAAATTCTGAAGACCGAGCAGCTCTCTACTTGGGCAAAAGTCTAACGACGTGCTACCGCTTGCTAGCAGGCACCAGCCCATGCGCAATACAGACGGTGAGGCAGGCCTCCCCCACTTTCGCATACTAATGTATCCCGCGTGTGTTACGCGATACCCCTATGCATTCTGTATGAGCCGGGGAAGAGGTGGGGGGGGGGGGCCTCCAGGCTCTGGCCTCGCATGTCTGGAGAACCGGACGTTGCTCGTTTTGCCTTAATTAAGAACGAATCCGATGGTTCTCAGAAATTACCTTCAGATATTTGATATCTTGATCGATACTCTCCTATTTGTACGAGAAAGCGTCTCCTAGGAATTTTTGGAGGCCTGGGGCATGTTCCTCTCCTCTGCTAAACTTAATCTAAATCTAAATATGAATTTAAATTTTATCTGAAAGGATTGCAAAAGCAACAAAGGGAGTCGGTTGCCCATCATCTCAGTGCGAAACTAACACACGTGTCCACAGGGCATTGGGAGGTTGCCGGTAGAGACAAATCCTGAATTACCAATCAGAACCGGGATAGGACATCCACGAACTTTGGCGCAATCGAAATGGGGACATTCAGGGGTTTCTCACCCCATCTTGAGACTTCTTGAAAAGTGAAACCCTTTTAAGACCAACATCGCAGTTAATAAATGTCATAAATATTCATATAGTATGTTAAATGATCTTGGACTCCCATACGAACTATGAGAGAATTCCCTCTCTTCATCTCAACATTTAAACAAGGTCGGACCTGTCTAAAAATGTTGGTCCTTTTAAAATAAGTTTTAGCAATAGTGGGCGGAGAAAAGGCTTTCCGCTTTTAGGCTGCTCTTAGATTCAACTTTAGATTTAGACCAAGTTTAGCAGAGGCAAGGAACAGGCCCCTGATCCCTCCCGATGAAGAAGGACCGAGCGAGAGCGCTGCAGTACGATCGCATTCCCCGGCGTTCACATCCTCCACCATACGCACATTCACGTTCCTCCCATCACGCACATTCTGCACGTGCCATTCCTTCTCGTATCCTTCTTTCTCTCTTCACAGGGGGAAATATGTAATATTCTGTTCGCTTTTTGTACGTGGACGTAGATATTCTTTCCTTTTTACCAGTAATTTCGGAGTATCCAATTTAGCTGTGCCCGAATTTTTTTTTGCACGAGTGTCAATGAACACTCGACCGGGCAAGGATTTCGATATAACCGGTTTCTAGCAGTATCCGTGTTCGCTATACCAAGAGTCGACTCTATCATGGGAAAGTCTGCCTACCATTTAATTGTGGTTGAGCCATCCTCCCTGGATATCCTGCAGGAGAAATATTTTTTAATGGATCCACCAATCCTCAACAGGGAAACCTACTCTCGTGAAATGAAAAAGCCTTACCCATTGCTGATGAAGTGCTTGGTTCCAAAACTGTTGGTCAGCTGCTCCCTCTGCTTCTCCTCTTCGATTTTGGCTGAAAACACGAACCGTCCATTCCTCGGTCACGAAAACATATTTAATCAAACAGCGAAAGAAGGATTCGATGCAGACCTTTCAGGATGTTGCACTTGATCTGGTCGAGCGGCAGCGGCCTCGGCTTGGAACTGGACGCAGCGTCTCGGGTGTTATTCGGCACGGAGTCGAAGAGGGGCTTCTTCGGCAACAGGGGCGAAGAATCCCTCTTCCCGTTCCCTTCAGCTCCTTCCTCTCCGGCTGCATCAAGAGTCAGGCTGATCAAACGAGATGCTCCTTTCTCCGATTCAGATTTCATTCCAACTGCAATTTCAAGAAGTAGAAACCAATGGCCTTCCCTTTTACTTTTGCAGTGTAAGACAAGTCTCATCAAGCACTACTTTATATAGTTAAAGTGCAATATTTTGTGTAATACAGTAGCCCGTTTGACAGGTTACTTCGTCACAGGGCATGAAATATTAACTAGCGAACAGCACTTTCCATTCACTCTTATGAGGATAAATGATGCTGCCTCATCCAAGGCAACTTTACCCACAATAAGAGTGAACCTGTGGCTGCATGAATCATAATTTCCATGGCGAGGTGAAGCCACCTCTGCATTTGAGGCATGGCACAAGACGAGGACACTTGCGACACAAGAGGATCACAGCGTGGCAGAGATGCACAGCCTTTAGGAGAAAACATGTGGCAGATGTTTTCCCATGTATCTGTATGGCAAATTATGGCATCTGTCTTAGACTGTCAGATAAACAAAGAGAATGACCTTCTCACAATAATTTAAAATGCCAACTTATGAAGGTTTACATTGCTCATTTTTCATCTATTTTTGCTTTCCTTTCATACCCTGAATCCCCTGAACCTGTAGTACACAACTTGATACTTCGCTTTCAGATCAGGCAAAATAAAATATATCTCTCTCACCTGTCAACAATGAAACTCCCATCCAGATAAGAATTCAACACCGGCAGATAAAGCAGGTAAAGCCATGTGGACAGAAAATAAAATTCAAAGCCAACACTTGACATGGATAAATACGCATGCAACTCCGTATCTGGGGGCTCATCCAGATAACAGACTGACAGCACCTTCACGATACCCACATAAGAATGCAGACCTCCATATGTCATGGAATTGGCCCATCCAGCATGATCTCACAGAGACCTTTCATCTCTCTTTTCACACATTAACACAAATAAAAGATCGTAAGAACACTCACCTGGACCATGGGCCGTCAAGGGGAGGACTTCCGACGAAGAGGAATCGGCAGCCGTGGCCAAGTTGGCATTCCCAGATCGGGGCTCCTTGCTCAGGCTCTTGATCAGGTTGTCCAGTCTCTCCTCGGCCGAACTGGATTCGGTCTTTTTCTAATAATAAGAAACCAGACAACACTTGCATGAAAAATTACTGGCAAAGAAAGATAATGAGTAAAGATAATGAGACTTCAGAGTCCTAGTATTGCATCCAAGAATTTATGCAGGCTGAGTAACAAATACCAAGATTATCCAAGATTTCAGAATTCCTGTTCCATGAGTAAAACCATGGTCTCCATTACAGAATAGTTCCAACAGCATTTGAAAAATTTATCAGTAATACAGGAAGAAATAGTATCAATATTTACTTGCTTCCTGCATATCTTATCATTGAAAGACCACGAAGAGTAATCATTCATGGTTATCACTGAAAATCCAATACGTAAAAGCAACCAAGGGCATCTCCATGGTGATACAGCAACAAAAAATGCTCAAGTCTCCATTCTGTTCATTGAATGGTGGGCATATTTGGAATTAGGATGAAATGACATCAGCTCCCTACCAAAGGCAATGGAATAGTACTGGGAAGGGCACTGACTGAAAGCAACAGAAACATCAGAAAATGCAGAAAAGTAGACCTGTACATAAGTCTAGCTCACGGTAGGTCATGAATGGTCAACGCATCACAGTCTCTTAAATTAGCTTAGTCATCTGTGGATAAGGCCAATGGCCAATAAGCACAGTTATTAATCCATGTTAGGATCTGGCAATCAATAGGTCAATTACCAGAAATAGTCACACATCACATTAATCAGTTCTACAGGAGGAGGACATTGACTTTTGAGGGGTAGACAAACCTTAGTTTCCGATTCGGCATGCACTTCGGTCACCGACACAGAAGGGTTGGCCGTGGTTCCATCCGGGACGGCAACAGAGGCAGCAACGACCGCAGAAACGGAGGGAGTCGCTCCGTTCTCCATGGTCTGTTGTCGTCTCTCTCGCAAGACGTGACTCTGTCGCCGGGCGAACCGCTGGCTGGGTCTCCTCTCGAAGTGAACGGTGCGTCTCATCCGTAACGCCTGGGTCGTCTGGAACTCCGTCCGTCCGCTGTACCTGAACCGAGAGCCCATTCGGAAGAAGCTCTGCCTCTGAGCTCCCCTCACTGGACCCTTCAAGCGGAAGAATGCATGATGCTCCACGGCACATTTCCACAGGTGTTTGCAGGCTTTGGGGTTGTACAGCCTGAAATTGGGAAATAGAACACCATGAAAAAAAACCCAAATCATTTCATAAAGTCCACATCCAAAATGCAAGACTAACCTGAACACAAATGTGTGCTCCTGTTCCTTCCCTTCGTCGTCGTCTTCCACGACGATGAGAGACAGCTTTTTCCGTTTGAAGTCGAGACGAGTGATTTTGGGCCTGCAATTCATCGACCAACAATTAGCTCTGGCATCTGGATAAAATCTAGTCATGAAAAGAAGCCAAGGTTCTCACCAGAAGAAGAGTCCAATCTTTTGGATTCCTTCAAATACAAGAATGCCAGTTGGTGTGAGACCTAGGGAATACTCACAGCTGTCCTTGCCCTGCAAAAATACGCATTATATCGTAACCAAAATCAACTTTAACACAGTAATCTCCAAAAATGAACTTACAAGGACAGTGTGCATGTCCACACCATACATTTCAAGCCACTTAGCCTTGTTGAGGTAATTCAATTCTGCCTGGGCTGGTGTGTGACCCCTGAAATCAAATATGCACCCAGCACATTAAGTAAAACCAGATGATCAAAATTTTGCTGGAAATTTGAGGACATCAAGATGAGACAAACCTGAGCTTCTTGAAGTGTTCGAGGACTTCAACTTCAAATTCCTCAGTTTGATTTGGGATGAAATGAAACTCAGACACAAAAGCAGGTGTGTGAACAGCTTCTTCGTAGTCTCCCAGCTCGGCTACAAGAAGATACCACCGATGGCTTTCAGGCACAACTAAGCACTTCTGCATTATGCAATGTATATCTAAAACTTCCTTTAAATCATTTCCATTCACATGGACACAAACAAAAAATTGATTATTTTATACATATATGCATGTATACTAGAAGCAGGCTTACATTGGAGAGCTATGGCAGCCAACTCAACAGCAGTTTGATGTGGGCACTCCAACCTCCCAGACAAAATGTCATTCTTCAACTGAAGGAAAAACTGATACCTGGAATGCAACAAATTCAGCTTTAGGGGACAATTACTTGACCTCACAAAACTTCTAGCAACTCCAAAGCAAAAATAGTCCAAACACCACTCAGATAATTAAAAAATCAGCTCACCTGGTCAATTCTTCTCGAAGATTGTTTGGCTCAGATGAATAGAACTTGACCTTCAGTCTCAAGGTGTATGGTGGGCCAACTGTTCATGGGAATTTGGAGTGATTGATGATTAAATGGGGGTCACAGCAGTATTAACCATACCAATTACTTACTAGGGATTCAAAACATACCCCTACACCTATTTATACAGTCATCACTGAGAACCTGTTTCACAGACACTTTAAAAGCTTAAGTGCTTTAAAAAAACGAATTATGCTAACTGCTGCACAATCTATCTGGAGCAGGTAAAATAAATGCTATAGAGGCTATGAAATACAAAAACATAATATGAAGGAGATAAAGGACACTATGCTATAGAGCTCTTTTTCTCCCATAGGATTCCATGTTTTCTTAAAAAATAGTTAGCTAAAGAAGGTTTCAGCACTTGGACCTAAGTAAAATTCCCAAAAAGTATTTCTGCCTGAATTCAGTGCAAAACTACCTAATGAAAACTCCACAAAGTGCATCCCTACTGATTATTACTAAGATATATTTAAGGGAGACTTACTTCTCACTTGCTTCTTGACTGGCTTTGTGTGGTCAAGCCAATGCTGTAATGATAAGGAAATGAACCATGAATACATGAGTAACTTAACGCTAAATTCAATAAATATGTTTGAATCTTAGTATCACATCTAAAAATCAATTACGATACTATAAGATACAAAGAGAAACACTTCTGGCAAGACAATGATGGAAAACTTTCCAAGTTTTCCTTTGGAATAAGTTCTTCAAAGCTGACTTCTACTTTACTTACTACTTTGAAACTAAGAGATCAAATTCAGCTATTGAATCTGGACTTGACTTTCAATTCATTTAGATAAAAATGTCAACATTAAATCCAAAAAATACCACTATCAGAAGACCATTGGCCAATAAAAAAAAAAAACAAAATGACTGAACTCCATAGTATGAAGCAAGAAAAGATCATACTCAGTGCAAATGTTACATACCCTGTAAGGTATTCAGAAAATTTGCATGTCATTATATCATACAGAGCTTGGCTGTAAAGAATCTGAGTCAGTTGGAACCAAAGAATAGCCATGCAAATCAATTTCTGGTAACCTGGATCATGAGTATAAATGAGCAATTATTGCTCCTCTTCCTCACCTGTACATTTGTTGCATCTGTATATTGGAGCCCAAAGTAGTCCTTCTCAATGAGATCCAAGGAGAACATCACCTGCTCAAAGAGCTCATGCCCAATTGCCTTTTTCTGCAAGATAAAAACAGACCTTAAACTTTCAGAAACCCCAGGTACAAACATATACTAGTCACCCATTGATGAAGTGAATTCCAAGCTATCAGTCAATTCAGTCAATTACCAGTAAAGTTTTCTGATAAATATGGAGGAAACTATGTAAAGAAATCCTTCCCACTTAGGTAACAGGCAATGACACTGAAATGTGTACTCACATGTAAATCAACAGAGAGGTCAGAGCCATCTAGCAGGAGCACTTTGCACGGAATCGTATGTTTGCTAGGCTTTGGCTTATGAGCGGCAGTGGCAGCAGCAGCAGCCGCTCCGAGGGATTTCTCTGCCGCCCTTCCCTTTCGGCTCCGACGACTGAAGAAACGTAGCATCGCTATCGACAGCCAACAGGGAATAGGTTTCTGATGGTCAACAGCAGGTGGGACCTATGCTTGTCTATGTAGTCAAAGTCTGCAGTTTGAAGTTTTGAAGATCACTGCCCTGGCTGACCATGGAAACGTATAGATCAGTCCTCTCTGAATTATTGCAGACTGTCTTTGGGATGCATCTGATCCCATCTTATGGCAAGACCTGCAGATGGTTCAAAGATGTGAAACTTCAACAACAATGCTGATTTGCAAGCCTATCCTGCAGATAAGGTTGAGGCCTAAGATCAAAGGAACATTGATTTGAAGCCCTTGTCCCGAGTCAGTTTTAACTAATGGCAAAAACTTAGGTCTATAGCAAGCAAGCTACTTGACTTGTGAATGGGAAGTTACAGGCCTACATGAATATAGCCCTAAATGGCTCATTAACTCTGTAGCTACTAACCAAGTAGCACACTGTATCTGGCCAATATCAGCCTAATACAGATTGTTATTGGGATGGCCATAAAACCTAAACTGCTTTATGGTTATATCTATTTACCTGAGTTCAAGATAGAATGTCAAAGACAGAAAATTAGAAGCCAATAATGGTGAATGGAAGAAATTTTCAGAAGGTTAACTACATTGATGGTGTTTAATATCAGATGATCACCAAGCAGAATGTGAAATGAGCAATGAACAATAAAAGTAAAATCATGCAAATATTTCTATAACCCTATTGTGTGAAAGCATAAAAAATCATACTCAATGGGAAAACACATCCCATTTAAAATTTTATAATCTGGCCTGAACCATTTTACTGATCCCAAACTCAACTGGGCACAAGCCACAGATGACCCTCATGCTATAGAAGTAGACAATTACCTTGGGCTATACTTAACATCTTTCCCCTTTCAGTATCACATACTACAAGGGGAATGCATTGGCTATTAATTCTAGTAACATAAGTACTCAAAAACATCAAATGCTGAAAATAATTCAAGATTTCAATAGAGCTGCAAGGCGAATGACTACTTCTTGAAGTCATAAATTCTTATCTCATAGAGGTCTCAAAGCCATAAAGGCCAGCTCAACTGGCAGTAATGGCACCTTTAT